ATGGACTTGGGCATATTCTATTTGATGCACCTAATGTTATTAATGAGGTTAATGAAGATGTTGATTTAGACTAGTTAAGTTTTGATAATGGTGGTTTTTGTGCAAATATAGATCATGACCAAACTTACACAAACTAGTCTCAAACTTGAAATCTTGAGTTTTCAAACCTTTTGCCTTACGGTTACTCTAACAATATATTTAGATTAAAGAAAATATATAGAAAAGGAAAAAATTTATTTATTTAGTTATTTAAAAAATAAGAAAAGAAGGAAAGGAAGTCATTTGCTTTCCTTTTTCTTTCAATATATTTATGTATTCCAATAAGGAGAGCGGAATGGAGTATGACTATTCTAATAGTATTTTTAGGTTGAAAAGAATGTAGATGAGGGGAAAATTCATTTTTGTAGTTATCATAAAAATTGGAGATGAGGGAAGGGCAAGGAAGCCATTTACTTTTATTTATTTATTTATTTACTTATCCAAATGAAAGGAGAGAAATAAAAGGAAATGCAATAATACAACTCTCTTCCCTCCTCTCTTCCCCTCCCCATCATTTTCTTTAACCCAAGACATACTAAAAGACTTTGCTCACATATATATTTCTTGTTTGTTCCATGAAACCAGAGATTGTTGCGTTGCATGTTATGCGTCTCAAAAGCATAATGCTTTGACCTTATATTAATAAATTAGCTTCTCATAACAATTTCAGCATGAAACTTAAAAATTAGAGCTTTTTAATGGCACGCAACTGCAAAATTCATTTTTAAAAAATGGAAAAGACTGGGAAAATGATGTTCAGAATTAGTTAAATCCCATTCCATCCTAAACAGAAAGGACTGAAAGATGACATAGATTTGATAATTATAAAATTGATCAAATTAGCCATAAAAATATAGAAGAAGAAGGTAGACTTAAAGAGGCATGAAAATTGGCTTATGAAGTTTAAATAAAGTACTTCCTCCACCCAAAATAATATATATATTTTTTAATTTAGAGCTTATTTCAAAATAAGTTCTTTTATATTTTAAGTAAGATAAATATTTTTTTATTTTTAATTTAACAATGATCTTTTAATTTTAATTATCCATTACATCATAAAATGATCTTTTCATTTTTATTTCATTTTTAAAAAATAAAATAAATAAAGAGAAAAATCTCCTTTAAATTCTTAATTTCTAAATAAAAGTAAAAAAAATCTATTATTTCAGGACAAGCAGCAAGAATTAGCAAGGAAGAGAATCAAAGTGCAATTAAATCACCTAAACCTGCCCTCGTCAATTTTCTGGTACCATCATAATTACATTCTAGATTGTTTCTGTAAATACTTACAGAAAGACAAAAACGAGAAAACAGGATTTTGTCTAAATTTTATTTTGAAGTGGACAACTCTGATCTCCTAGTTCCTGCATTCTGATACGAAGGAGCTGAAAAAATCCTCACATTTTTTTGTTCTTTCTAGATGAACTCTTCAACAAGATTACCAAAATCAAACTTGCCATTGCTGCATTTCAGGGCATTGACAACTTCTTGGAATGTCGATACACTGCAAGGAACAACCAGTCTCTTCCCCTGCTTGAATCCGACTTCATCATAGGACTTGTCCAGCAGCAT